AAATTACCATTGAAAGAGCTAGTTGTTACTGTGCCAGAAGGTTTTGCTAAAGATAAAAAAAAAATTGCATCTTTTGATGAGTACAAAGAGGAAAAATGCATCCTTGGAGATGAAATTGATGACAACATTAATGGCGATGAAAATAATAACATTGAGAATAATGACAACATTAATAAAGGCAAAAAGAAAACATCACAATTGCCCATTGTTCATGTAAGAATATTATTCTTATATTTGATATATATGTGTGCCCTTTTGAAACAACAGCTTGGCACTAATTCATTTCTTTCTTTTTTTCTCAAAATTAGGCATGTTATCTTATATTTATGAAACTTAAATAATTCTTTTTTTTTTTTTGATTTCTTATTTTTTTTTGATGAGGTTTGAAAATTTGGAAATTTTTTAATATTTTAATTATGATTCTTTGTTATTCTTTGAACTTATTTTGAGATTAATCAAAACTTATTACTACTATTAATTAATATAAATAAATAAAAAATAAAGAGAAATAAATATAAAATTACAATTATATAACTTATATGAAATATTTTATTATTTACATATATATAAATTTATATACACCATTTGAATATATATAAAAATTATTTATTTTATTTCTCTTAAAATCTATGAAATTAGAAAATTTAATTAATAAATAAATTTGTGAAATTATCATAAAAAAAAAAAGGAAATAAAGCTTGATAATTACCACAGGAACACTTGTACATGGAATCATTCCAACTTCAGTGATAACAGTTGTTATGTATTTTGAAGGTGTCAAATCATATAAGATGTTTAATAATTTTAAATCTGGTTTTTGAAGCCAATCACTCAATGAACCAGATTTTGGTATTGAACAGGTAGAGGTATTAATTAATTCATCAGGGCGTGCTAAATAAACGAACAAACAATAATGATTAATCAATTCAATCACAACCGACTGATTAATTAATAAGTTAAGTTAAATTTTTTTAGTTTAATAATACCTTGTTCATTAGTCACAAAAGAATCTAATTGTACTTTGTCGGTGAATTTATAAGTTTCACAACATACAATAACTGGAATATCTTTTCCTTTAGCCATCATTGCTACCAATGCAGTGCCAACACGTGAGTAAAGTGTTCCGTTTGACATGAAAGCATTTGCACCAAGAAAAACTTTTGAAACATCTTTTAATACAAATCCAAGTGCATGAAGAAAAGCATATGTGCAATTGATTCCCGCGTTTACCAATTTATTTAAAAGTCTTTTGCCTGAAAGTAAATAAACAAAGAAGTTATGACAAAATATACATATATAATTAATTAATTTAATTATTAATTTATTATTTATCACCTTCTAATCTTGGTCGAGAATCTATAATGATGACTCTAAACTTTATTCCTTTTGCTTTTGCTTCTAATAACAATGCTTGTACAACTGATGACCTAATTAAATAATATTAATGTAAACATCACTCTATATGCATATATATATACATATATATATAAATAGAATACCTTGCATATGTTAATATTACATCACCATCTTGAATTTTTTGTAACCCATATTCAACAATCATTGTATCAGCAACTGTTATACGATCGCGAATAAAGTTATCGATTTTGTCACATAATGCAATTTTTGCCTACATAATAATATATAATTGATTGACTAATGAAATTCAAATCAATCAAATGACCAATCAACCATAAAAATAAATAAATAATTATTTATTTACTTCGTCATCTGATATATCAATATTCATTGTTGAGATTTCTAACTTAAGGTATCTAATAGCATTGCCCATACCCACCGATAATGGACGTGCTTTCACCAAATATTTTATTTGAGGTGAAAGATGTGTAGGTAGATGACGTGATAAGGTGTAACCTGCTGGTGTCTTATAATCTTGAATTACCTGGAAAAAAAATAATAATAGGCTATTCTATTAAAAAAAGAATACACCACGGGAGATATAATTTTTTTTAAATTTAAATTTTATTTTTACTTTTTTAAAAGCAGTAAGTGTTGCAATGCAACGAGCATTAGCTCCACATATTTTGAATTCGGCAAATTGTAAACCAAGAACTAATACAGCTGGATGAACTTCTTTAGGCGCCAAACTTGTATTTAGTTCTTTAGGAATTTCCAAATGCGAGAATAAGGCTACTTCTTTACTATTACTTTCAGTATTAGCCCTTTTCATTTTTTATTATTTTTTAATTGATCTAAAAAAGAATGATTTTTTAAATAATAATTGATCGACGTTATGCATAAATAGTAAATCTTTTGACGATATCATTGAAAATTTAAATCAACAATTTATCACTTAGCTCACCATTAACGCATATCAATAGGTTACAGAAAGAGATGACAAGCAGCATTTTCAAATAATTTATAAAGATCACGACAAAATATACTTTACATCAAATTGTTACACAGTAAATATAACCGTAAAAGATTATCATGATCCCTTTCTACCAGTGTTATTAGTGATCATTTTGTTTTAAGGATAGTTGTAAGTTGTTTTCACGTAAAAAAATAATAAAAAGTTCATTTTCCCGTTTACACAGGGCCGGATTGGTTCAGTTTCGATTACTAATGCACGGAATGAAAGTCGAAATCTATTTTAAAAAATCAAGAATGTGATAAAAATAATCATGCTTGATACAGTAACCAGTACTCCAATCAATGCCAAACCTCTATTTGGCGAAGTTTCAGATGTTCAGCAGAATCAAGAGGGAAAAGTTTTCTTGGTAAAATGAAATTGGGTGTCATGATGATGATGATGATGATGATGATGATGACGATGAAAGGAAGTTGGTGATATGTGGTTGAACACAACATGGTTCGTTTACCTTGATACGTAGTCTTATCGTCTGGTCCTTGTTAACTGTGTATTCTTCTTTAACACGGGATTTGAAGTGTATATTTTGCTGTGAAGCTAAGAGTAAACTATTTATTTTTTAAAAATTTTATGCGACTTTGTACAAATATTTACCAATAGACCACGAATCATTTAAAATAGAATATATTGGCTTCCAACATCTATATTTAATGACTTGTCACAATATGCTAGTACCCTTTAGTGTTGGTCGCCAAAACTATTTTGAAGAGATGAAAGTCAAAACTAATATTAAAAGTTATATGTCAAAACTAAATTATATTATCCATTTATTAAATGAATTAATTTCTTTTATATTGAGTCTTTTCGAATTCGAGTTCGATTTCTTTTTTTCCAAGCTGACTTGAAGAAAAACTCCGGATTTTGTAAATTTACAAACATAATCTTTTTGCCAAAAAAATTCCAATAAACAGTCGTTGGCCTGACCATGTTTAATAGTAAGGAAACGAACAATTTGACTTTCCAGAAGAAAGTATTGGATGCACTTTTTTAATAACTTTGCAAAAGATTATATATAAAAATAAATCAAAAACATCACTTTGTAGCTCATCCTTGTGAATATATATATATAGTTTATTTCTCTGCCATCAATAAATATATAATAATTAAAAACACATAATAATCATATCTACAATTTGGCATGTGATTAATATGGGTTTTAAATAAACATTCATTTTTGATAAATTTTTTTGAATAAATTCTTCAAAAAGGTTTAAACTTGAAACGTCAGCTTTGATATAGTAATTACATTCATGAGAGGACCGGGAAAACCTATTGTATGTCACCGTCAAATCAAATCAAACGATCAAACATACAAATATGAATCTTGCTTTTTATTCTTTCTATTTTACTAAATCTTTTCCTAGAAAAAGATTTGCTTGAGGAAAAAGTTGTTTTGCAGCATCTTCGGGTCACCAAAACTTGCTGGGCTATTATAATTTTAAGTCACAAACATCCAACACATATTCATGTTTTCGTTCTTCAATTCTTCCAGAAATATATTCTTTGGGGTGAATTTTTGACAAACATGCTTCAACGTCCACAAATTTTTTCTCTTTGAATGTCTTTTAAATTTCAGCTTGATACACGAATCAGTGTGACCGGTGGCATTTTCTTCTTCCTTATTAATGCGAATATAAAGTGGGTGGTGACATTTTTAAATTTTAAAGTATATACTATTACTATAGTGTTGGCGGTGACATTCATATAATAGAGTTTTCCTGGTTTTCATGAATGCAATCACTGATGGATGACCTTTTTCTTTCCAAAAAAATTTGGACAAGTTTTATTTCAACCATTAATTTAATTAACACAGCAGAGAAGTCAAATTTTGCATATATATTTACAAGAATCTAAGCTACAAACGACGCTTATTTGTTTTTTTTGTATGTGGTCTGTTGCAGAATTATTAAAGTGCATCCAGATAATCATCTGGTGAATAAAATGTTCAGGTATTCATTTGATCATCAAGTTAATTATCCAGTGAATGTTTATTCTTGATGGCATAACAATGACATCATAAACCAAAACCAAAATCAAAATCAAAATCAAAATCAAAATCAAAATCAAAATCAAAATCAAAATCAAAATCGTCATCTCAAATACCAGAGCTATCAAATGATATAAAAATCACAAATATTTATTTAGTATATTTTTCTAATAAATGCAAAAGAACTTTTGTATATAAACTTTTGGCAATCAAGTGTATATTAATGCTATAATAGAAAGAACAGTTGCTACATGACAAGGAATATTATATGATTACTCATTGCTACATAGTGTAGAAGACATAATATATTTCATTCCACATTTGGATTTCATTCCACTATAAGACATAAAAAAAAAAGGGTGTCAATACAAAAACAAATATCCCTAGCTATTATTAATAACAGAGTATATTCTTCATGCCAAATAATACTGTATGTTTATTAATGAATGCCCAGTCCTCTTCACCTTGTGTTCCAAAAAAAAAATAGTAATGGGTTTTCTTTGTACAACACTATATGCTCTTAAAATAATATTTTTTTTGTTCTTGAGTTGATTATACATCCCTAGCAGAAGACAAAGGCAGATCTATTGTTAGAGCAAAGGAAATTCAATAACTTTTCTAGCTGTTATTAAAAAAAATGGTAGTGATGTTCATTGGTTGGCAACTTGTCATTCTAGTTTTTAGGCAAAAATTACACATATTATAGAGAATCGTAATAGTATTTTTGTGATTGAGTGGAAATAAATTTAAAATTAAATTTTATTTAATAATTCATAGATTTCACATTCTTCCAACATTTGACGCCTATTTTTAACATTCAAATCCCTCTTATATGAAGAAAATTCATCAAAAAAGTAATGACAATATGGTTCATCATTCAGCCAATTATAATATAAATTTAAATCCCCAAAGTTTAAGATTATTCCATCACCAGTGCATCTTCCTCCATGATGAAATATTGCATGTCTAGGCTCTTTGACTCTACTTAATATTGAATTGTTGAGTTGATTTTATAAATTTCAAAAATAAAACTTTTGTCTGTTTCAATATAATATGCAGTCCATTGATGGTCTATTGGTGGTCCATTGGGTACATTAGTGTAACATTTTAACCATATTTAGTATTTTATTAATGGCAATGGACCAGTCCAAAATCCATCTGTTCTCAATGGACCAGTCAATTTGCCAACCCTGGGTTATACCCACCAACCAATTCACCTGATTTTTCAATCTTCATGATAACCAAAATTTGTTTAATGTCAAAACATTTATTTTCAAAAATCCGATTTTGCAAATCCATCTCAACTCCCACTATAAATTAATCAAAAATCATATGGTACATTATTTTCATTATAATGGCCATTATTTTTCTGATCTATCTAATCAAAAATAAATATTTCAATTTCAAATTTAACAACATCCCCTTTTCAATTTTGTTCATGAAGATGTAACTTGGGTCCAGAACTAGAATAACATTGAAGAAGTTCTTCATATACTTCTTTTTTAAAAGCTTTTTCATATGGTCTGATTTTCCCATAAAAATCACATGAAGAAATGTTGTTAAATCTAACCAATGGAATAACATTTTCTAATATACTTTTCATCTCTTTGAAGTCACTTTCATTCCACTCTTAAATATTTTTCTAATGTTTCATTTTGACCTATACCCCACTTAATAACATGATTCCAAATATCAATCTCATCCAAATCTAAATCACCCCTTTCCAATAAAGACATAAATTTGTTTTTCAATTATTGTAAAATTATTTGATTTTAAAACCAATCTTTGGTTTCTAACAATTATTTCCTTGTGATAATCATCAAGTAAACCAAATTGATGTCTTGATAAAACTTTACAAATGTAAGCTATATTGTTTAGAATGCATTCGTTTTTCATTGATCAAATGATTTTGTAAATCATCAATTAATTCATCAAAGTATAATTCGTCACATCCTTCAAGAAGTTCTAAAGTTTCATCTATGTCAAGGTTATCAATATCAATGGTTCCATAGTACACACACCTTTTAAAAACAAGGAAATAAGACAAATTGGCAGATAATTCAATTGTTTAAGATTTAAAACAAATAAAACTTAAAGAATTTCAAATATTTTTTTTCAAATAAACTAGAGTGATGACGAGTGGCGATAGCCATCATTCTTTTGATAAACACTTACTTGACTGAACCTTTAATATTATCTTGTTGTTTTCTCTTTTTGTTTGATTCAGACACTTTTTTTAAAAAAAAAGAAAAAAAGAAAAAAATTTATTCGATCGACAAACGCGTACACATTAATTAATGGGGGTTGACAGACAAAACTAGTATTACGACCCGGATTGTTAATATTAACGGATTAACGTTACTATTATTGACCCGTTAATATTAATATTAAGAATATTTGAACCCGTTAAGATTCCGTTAGGATTTTTTTCATCCGTTAAAATTGTAAATTATTATTGGATAGTATTAGTACATTGTTATTCGCGCCCCTCCCGTGACTAAGTGTAGTAATGTGATGATTTTATTGGTTCATCTTTGTCTTAGTCACGGGAGAGGTGCGAATAACAATTCCCTATTAGTAATATGGTATTAATAAATCAAAAACATTTGTTTGTTGGAATTTAAAATAATAAAAGATTTATTTATTTAATTTGGAGATGGATTGTGATTTATTTCTTTTTAAGAACATAATTTTTTTAAAAAAATCATGTTTCATCCGTGTTCTTTTAAATTTTTCCCCTCCCTATACAGTCTAAGCTCTCTATACCGAACCCCTCTCCCTATATGTAATTTTTCTGCTTTGTTCGTTATAGAGAGAGAAATTAATTATAAAAAAATGAATCGAGGATAAAAGGACGTTCGTTTTAGAGAGGTTCGGTATAGATAGCTTAGATTGTATTGCTTAAAAATTTTTCTTTACATTGAAAATAATTTACTGTTTTTTCTTAAAAAGATTGAAAGATTGTGATATTAATTTTTTTTAATATTAATAGGTAGAATCCATAATGTATTAGTATTAGATAAATAAACATGGTCAAAAAGTCCTCATTTCAGCATAAAAAAAAAAATTGTTGTTGTTAATATTAACGGATCAATGGATTGTTAATTGTAATATTAATATTGATATTATTATTATCGTTGACGAGTTAACGGGTTGACGGATTGTCAACCGACTGTAACCTATAATAATAATAGTCGTGTGACATTTTCCTGAGGCTGCTTTTCTATATTACTAATTCGAATCAATTTTCTTATTCGAATTATTCGTTTCATTAGATCAAAAAAATGATGGATATAATTTGTACACAAAAAAAATGTCAACTTGTAGATCCTGAAGCTTATTATCTGAAAATGAAACAAAACTCCAAGGGTTAAGTTAGAAAAAGAATTAGCAGAAATTAAGCAAAGCAAAATATCCCTCTTTGATTATTACAACTATTTTGATAACAGCAGAGACAACCACAATACCACTTTGGA